AGAGAGAGAGAGAGAGAGAGAGAGAGAGAGAGAGAGAGAGAGAGAGAGGGCGACTCTGCCTCGCTGTGTGCTCGTGTGAGTGTTGGCGTCAGTGGTGTGGTTTCGCGTGCGCATCGCTGCGCATACACACACACACACACATACACTACACACACTCCACGGCGGTTATCATACACTGGCGCGATGCGACTTGAATGGACGCGGCACGAACACGCGGACGAGCCGCGTGCGGACGTCTCGCGGGGAGCTTTCGCCAGATACTCGGGTGTGTACACACAGGTACCACAGGTCCCCCCGTTATAGTCCACCCCCGCGCGTCTTCCCGCCTCCGACCGGGGGTGCCTGCGTCAGCCCGCCCTCTTTCCGCGATATCGGACCGGCTAAAGTGGTTTGTCTTTGATTTAACCACCACAGCACTGGGGCGAACGGCGTCGATGAAGGAACACCTTTCCCGCCGAGCCCACGCGCGTCAGCGTCGTTCGTTGCGTAAGGAAGGTAGGAAGGGTGGCAGCTAGGCAGGCAGAGGTGGCCTGGTAGGTGGATAGGTAGGATGTGTGTGGAGGAATTGTATGCTCGCCGCGTGTACTATACGCGATATCACGAAACGTCGGCGGGGGTTGTCGACGATGATCGTCGGTGTGTCGACGGCGGCAGGGGCGGCGCATCGCGTCCTCTCCAATGGTCGTGTATAGCGATCTCACAGGGCTGCTGGCGGTGTGTAATCGTGATAGGTAGAACCGGGTACACGGCGCAGGTATCTTCTCTTCTCCGTTCTGCGCGGGGTGTTGCGCTGGTGGTGCCGGCGATCAAGCGACACAACGACCGACCGACCGACCGACCGACCGACCGACCGACCAACCGATCGGCGGACGGACGGATTGATGCGAGAATTGCTGTTGCCGGTGGTGATGCCTGGCAGTGATGCTGGCGCTGCCGCCGCTGTTGGTTGCTGCTACTACCGCTCCGCTCTTAACTCGGCGCACGGATATTGTTTACCCGACCATTTAGGTAATTGCTGGCCTACCGCCCTGCCAGCCAATCGAACGTAACCGGCGGATGCGTCTGCAATACCGATCTCCCTCTCTCTCTCGCTCTCGCTTGCGTCAACAACCTCCGTCGCCGTTCCCTCCCCGTGATCTTCGGCCCTCTCTGTCTCGCCATAGTCCGTTGTCCTTGTCTGCTACTGTTACCATCCCTCTCGCTTTCTCTCTCTCTTCCTCTATCTCTTTCCCTCCCTGTTCAACACCGCGCCACCCCCGCCGGCTCACTCAACCCCGCTCGATCATCATCGAATTAGCTCGGGACCAATTGTTCGGTGAAACTATCGCCGCTATTGTCGCGGTGATCGATTCTTTCCAGGAAATTGGCGAGATTGGAAAGATACATACGCTCTGCCGCAGAAGATTGCGGCCGCGCGCAACCAGTCGGCGGAGGGGTGGGTGGCTGGCGTTTTGACAGTTTTAATGATCGCCGTCGCGCATTGTTCCGGCATCGCGTTTAGAGATAAACGGGGGCCGGCCGACCGATGCGGCCAGTTCTCGACGTTCCCAGCGCGCTTTCTGATTGCGCTTTGTCGACGCCATTGAACACGCGCGACTGCTACTTGGGATAGCTTTATAGTTGATCAGATATAACGCACATCCCGGCCTCCTGAGGCTGTCAGTAGTACCTTTGCGCCGGGGAGGAGTCGCGACGATGGAGTCTCATATATGGTTAGACGACTGCCTCGGTGAAGCTCGACTCTAATCCTCAATTGCAGCAGCTCATTATTTGGTTAGCACACGGCGAGGTAACGGCGCGCGGTGTTATCGTGTTTCGCGAAAACTAATTATCGCGGCCGCCGTGGTTAATGCGATAATAGACCTTTTATTCATCAGGTCCGACCGTTTTGTTAGCTGCGCGCTCGCATATGCATGTGTGTGCGTCTGTATGTGTGTGTGTCTGCAAGCGCGTTCGCGGCTCTTTGGCGAATTCAGCCGTGTTGTAAAAATCCCAGCCTCTGAAAGCGGCGTTTCGCAGGATAGCCGAAGCGAATTAACGGAGGTATCCGTAGAATCTGTGGAAAAACCAACCGACCAATGGTCTCTCTCTCTCTCTCTCTCGCTCGCTCGCTCGCTCGCTCACTCACTCACTTTCTCTCTTTCTCTCGGTCGCCACTGATGGCGGCGAGAGGGTGGTAGTGTATCCGGCAGAAGTAGTCAGGCTTCTCATTCCATTCTGTCACGTAAACGAACGAACGTAATAATTCACAGGCCGCACAACGTCTGCAAAAATACGGCTCCTCGCTGCGTCATCCGTTCCTGGAAACGTCGTTTTAAACTCGATGTCAATTATCCGCGGACAAATGAGCGCCGGTTTACTCGCGTAACTTAGGGCCGATTTACCTGACGTCGGCCGAGGGACTGATCCTTGTTAGTTACGCGTCTATTTTCTCCCCGCGTCGCGATCCAGCAGGAGGAAGAATGAATGCCTGGCGGAGACTTGGTGGTTAACTGAGAAATGTATTATTAAAAAATTCGCCCTAATTTTAGCAAAATTTGCCTTGTTCCTTAGCAAGTCTGACAGTCTATTCCTGCATTTAATCCTGCGTCACTGCACCGAGAAAATGTCTGTAGTTTCTTTTCATATAAATTCTTTTCAATTTTATTGTGTTTTTAGTAGTTTGCAAGGGAAAAAGTAGACACACTGTCAGGTAAAGTACATCTCGCTAAGAAACATGGCGAATTTCGCTGGAAATATAACAAATTTTTGAATAGTACATTTCAGTTCCTAAAATATAAGTAATACATTCGAGATGAAAGGATAGTCAACTACGACAGAATGTCGACCCATTCCTCGAGATTACGAAATTGTATAATAATTTTTACTTTAAAATTCTCTCCGTGTAGTCGTAATGGTCAGTCTATTCTCGCCGATGTGGAGTCATTTTAACTCTTTTAATCGTATTTTTCCACTTGTAATCTCTGTCCTGGACGTTAATAATCATTTTTTTTTATTAGAAAAGAATGAAGAGTGATACCAATTGCAGACATTCTTGTCACTGAATTGCATCGGCAGTCTAGGACAAATTTTTGCCGCTTCGTTCTTCGTTCATGCCACCCACTTCGCAATTAGCTGCAACGCGTTTTTGTAGTTTCAGAGAGTCTCGTGCGAGAGTCGAGGGAGGCTCTGACCGAGATTGATTTCGTCGCGGGGTTTCCAAGATCAACACTCCGCAGGCACAGATCACCGACGGGAATCGGCCGTTTTTCTGGGCGCGGGATTCCAGTCCCGGGGAATTTTCGGATGCGCGCGTGCATCAATACGGTTTTTTCGCAAATTAACGTTCCAACCGCCGCGGGAAGATAAAGTATTAATGTGCTTGGTAAGCGTCACGCACGATGGATCGAGGTCATTTGCGGTGCGTTCCCTATGCATGCAGTGTTTGCTACTCGATTTGTAGTACGCCAAAACTTCATTAATAATTCAGCCCGCTAATGTAACGCGCGCCAATGCGCACCGCCCCCGTCCAGGTGCCTAAACGCGTCGCTCGTCTCTCCGTGGCCCTGCGCGTCCGAACGGCACGTAACACCGAGCGGCACATAACGCTTGCGAGTGATCTCTCATGTGTTGATTAATCGTCGCCCTTGCCCGAAGAAATCACGGCGCGGCGACCCCATTGTTGATGGTCATCCCTCACGAGCATGCACACACAACACACACATTTCCCGTCGTTTCTCATTATGGCGCAGGTGAGCTCAGAACCGGTGGATCACTCCACCTGCCAAAGTAACGTGGGTTTAGCTCAGGGTTCCCTAATAGTTTCCGAAGAGCGCTACGCGAGTCGGTAGGTTAGCTGGTTAGCGAGCTACAGGAAGGCGACAGAGGCAGAGGGGGCAGCGGGAGACAGTGCGCGACGACGAGCGAACGAGACGCGGGGGCGAGGGCGACATGATAGAGCGATCGAGGGTGGTCCAGGGGGCCGACGGAAGGGGCTCTCTCGCCGAAGGTGGGGCGCTCTCTTGCACGGCAGGGAGATCGGACAGACCAGCCGTGACCAATTTGCGCCCGTTCGTGCTCCCGATTCTGATCCCGATTCTACCACTCGTCCGCACATGCATAGCTGCACACGTATACATGGCCGAGTGCGCGATCTTCCCTTCTCGGTATCCCACGCACCCCCTCTTGCCCGCGCACATGTGGCCCTCCCCTTCACTCCGGTGGCCCGCCACCTTCCCCGAGCCCTCCGCGCCCGCCCGGCTCGGCTCCGCGACCCCCTTTCCGTCGGCACCCTGCTGCCAAGAGATATTCGTCACAGAAAGTCGCGCGTTGTGTCGCTCGGTGAGCGGGCCACCCCAAAAGTTTCACGCCTATCTGGCCCGGCGGCACCGTCTATTCGCGCCACGATAATTGGCCAATTAAAACCGGGCGAGAGCGTTCGAGTTACCTGCCATCCGATAATTATACGGTGTCCTCGCGGCGGTTCGACCACGTATCCACGCGACCAGGCGTGGGTGGCGGTGGCGACGAATAGCGGCGGCACTGGGGTCAAGGGGCAGGAGGTCGGCAGGGGGAGG